GCGCCCCAACCCCCTGATCGGCCCTGCTCTGTGTGTGATAGAGGGCGGTGCCCCAACTCCCCTATTGGCCCTACTCTGTGCGTGACAGGGGGGAGCTCCCCAAACCCCTGATCGACCCTGCTCTGTGTGTGACAGGGTACAGAGCCCCAACCCCCCTGATGGCCTGATGGGCCCTTCTCTGTGCATGACAGGGGGCAGCGCCCCAACCCTCTGATTGACCCTGCTCTGTGCGTGACAGGGGGTGGCGCCGCAACTTCCCTATCGACCCTGCCTTGAGTGTGACAGGGGGCGGTGCCCCAACCCCCCAATCGGCCCTGCTCTGAGCCCAACCAGGGGCTGCACCTAGGGATTGAGCCTGCCCTCTGCCACCCGGGAGCAGGCCTAAGCCAGCAGGGTGTTATCTCCTGAGGGGTCCCAGACTGCGAGAGGGCACAGGCTGGGCTGAGGGACCCCTCCTTCCCCCCCGAGTGCACAAATTTTTGTGCACCGGGCCTCTAGTTATTAAATAATACAATAAACTATGTTTCATGTACTCACAACTAACTGTAACCATATTATAGTTTTATAACATTTTATGATTCTTTGCTCACTACCCTCCTCCTCCCCATCTCTAACACTGTCAATATAGTGAACTGGAAATCTACAAAGCTGTCAGTACAGTGAATTGCATATAATAGAAAGTGCTCCTTAATGCTAAACATTATTAGATTAATCTAATAGAGTTTACCTAGATTTCCCACCTACAAAACCACTCTTATCCAATGTATCTTACCCATTATCACCAATTTATTTTCTATAAATTACAATAAATTTGGTTCTGTTGTTAATAGTTCAATAGCTCTCCACCTCTTAACTAATGAAAACTGACTCTTCACAGGTATTTCAAGAACCTCTTCCACATGGCCTCAACTTATCTCTTAAGTCCTAAATTCTCATAATCTGCCTACTTGCATCCTATTCACCAGTTCAATTTGACTCTACTGTTCTCTGAATACATTCCTAAAATTTTCTGAACTTTCAAAGCTTTGGACTAGAATGAAGCATGACCATGAAAGTGAGTACATTCTTAAATTTGTGCTCTAGCCTAGACAATTAACTTGCTTCACCCTAGTCCCAGTCCTAAAGATCATCTAAAAATATTACTTCTGCCCTAACCGGTTTGGCTCACTGGATAGAGTGTTGGCCTGCGGACTCAAGGAACCCAGGTTCGATTCCGGTCAAGGGCATGTACCTTGGTTGCGGGCACATACCCAGTGGGGAGTGTGCAGGAGGCAGCTGATCGATGTTTCTCCCTCATCGATGGTTCTAACTCTCTATCCCTCTCCCTTCCTCTCTGCAAAAAATCAATAAAATATATTTTTTTAAAAAAAATATTACTTCTCCCACAAAGTCTACCCTGATACCTCTCAATAACTTGTAATTTCTAGCTCCTTCAAGTCCCCAAAGCATTTTATATCTCTCCCATAGCTTTACAGTCATTTAACAAATTCAACAAATATTTACCAGGCATCTGCTATATATCCAGACACTGATCTAGAAGTTAGAGCAGTGAACAAAACAGATAAAAATGCAGACTTCTGAGAGTTTACATTCTAGTAGGTCAGAGTAGCTTATAGATGAATCTCATTCTATTAGCATATTAAGCTTGCTGTAAAGGACAAAATCTAATTACTCTTTGTAGGTCTGTACCTGATACCTGCACAGAAAATATTTAATTTCGAAAAAAAAATCTTTTTATGTACTTTTTATAAATATTTTAACTTATGAATTATAACCAAATACAAATGTGATTTCTTATTCACTTGATCTTTAAACTTACCTGCTAATATCATTGTTGCTTAGGTCAAGCCTTTCCAATGATTGTAGTAGTGTAATTTCATCTGGAACAGATTTTAACTTGTTATCCCGGAGGTCTAGCACAAGGATAGAATTCAGATGCTTAAGATGTTCTGCCCCTAACATTTCAATTTGGTTTTCACCTAAATGTAATTCCTACAAAACCAAAGATCAATCATGTATATTTCTGTAATCAATGTTATATTACATAATGAAAATAAAATTGAAATCTTAATTTCAAATCATTGAAAAGCACATAGAAAAAAACGTAACTTCCTAATCACTAAAGTGCTTAAATTTTCAATTACATTTAAGCTATCTTACAGCTAAAGAAAAATGACAGCAAGAAAATTTTCAAAATTTTTCTAGTAATTTAAAAATAATTAAAGGTCTAACAAAGTTCAAAGTTTACAAAACCAAAGAAGAGAAATGATTTAATAGTTACATTTATAGAATAAAAATACAAATCCAAGAACTATACTGATGAAAGATTAAAGTTTTTTGTGGGTTTTTTGAGGGGGAGAACGGGAAGGGAAAGGGGAGGGAAAGGTGGGGAGAGAGAGGGAGCAACAACACATCAATTGGCTGCCTCCCAAACACGCCTCGACCTGGGCCAGGGAACGTGGCCAGGGAATGCCCTGCAATGCAGGTACATGCCCTGGACCGGTAATTGAACCCAAGACCCTGTGGTACATGGACCAATGCTCCAACCACTGAACCACACTGGTCAGGGCAAAAGATTAAAGTTTTACAACAAATCAGTATAAGTTAAAAAGTTATTTATCTTGTTATGTTTGTTATTCCACACTTTTAATGATAATTATTATATATAATGATTTCCCATTAACAGTATCTTTTAACATCATGTATTAAGGGAAATGTTTTTAACACTAATACATAAAAAGTATACATAAAAGAAAGCAAAGCATGGCAAATTTAGAAGATAATGTTAATGCTAAATACTTATAACCAAAAGAAATTAATTTTAAACAGATCTGACTATGATCAGGTAAACGTGAGAGGTGGCAACTTACAGAAATAGATACAAATATTGGTATTCCAGGTCTCCTACTAAATGGTCCCAACTTACCATGTTAGCCTCATCATCTACTACTTCTCCAGGTATAAACTGATCATCAGGTAAAATGGACAAATTTATATTTTTAAGTTATTTCTTTTTAAAAATGTATATATTACTAATACCATTAATGCATTTAGCCATATTAAAATTCCAAAAACTATTAACATAGGAAAAACGTAGCACTTAAAACACATATTTCCAATGTAAAGCAATATTAAAAATTTCATTTTCATAAATAACTTTTGAAAAATATATAGTTACTCAATAATCAACTAAATAGTACCTTTAATAATTTACAAGAAGGAAATTCTGGTAAAAAACGTAATTTATTCCTCCGCAAATAAAGCAATTCTAGTGATTCCATGCCGGCTAATTCAGAAGGTATAGATTCCAACAGATTTGAATTACAATCCAAATGCTTTAATCCTGTAATACATATTTAGCAAAAAAATTATTTTAATAGAGAAAAAATATTGGTCTATAACTTTATGTACATTCAAAAAAATGTATACGTAATCATGAAAACTCATATATCTGTGCTGTTGTATACTTTTATAATAATCAAGAATCCTAGAGTGGCACTGAATTAAATAAACATGAACTAAGATTTTTTTCATTTAATTATAAGAGAATTGATATTAAAATTGTTTTATAATAGTCTGTGATTATTGTAACAGATTTTTAAAAACTTTGGTACTCTGTTAAAGTACTCTAAAATGTACAAGGTGTGGCAAAAGTAGGTTTACAGTTGTTCCTATAAAATATAATAATAAATAATATGAGAATAAACTATTTTGCATACTCACAACTCTAAACCTTTTTGCCCCACCCTGTTTAAATACATTATGAGATTATTCCCTCCATAATTATATACCTTTAAAAAGAAACAGCTTAAGATAGATATATAACTATACATCATACTACATGTATAAATGGATATCAGTAGCTTAAACATATCAGTATTTAAAATAGGGAAATTGACTGTCAAAAAGCCTTGGATTTTTATGTATTCCCTCTTATTCTTCTTCCATACATACTGCCTCTTTTTTCCATCCTTTCTTCTTCCATTTTTTTTTAAGTACATGCTTTCTCTCACATCTTAGCTAACACTCCTGACAAGAATTTCTTGCTTGCAACATCTCTCTCTTACCTCCTGGACCTTTCTTTCTTAAAAAACAGAACAGGCCCTGACTGGTTTGGCTCAGTGGATAGAGCATCAGCCTGAGGACTCAAGGGTCCCAGGTTCGATTCCGGTCAAGGGCATGTACCTTGGTTGTGGGCACATCCCCAGTAGGGAGTGTGCAGGAGGCAGCTGATCGATGTTTCTCTCTCATCGATGTTTCTGACTCTCTCTATCCCTCTCCCTTCCTCTCTGTAAAAAAATCAATAAAATATAGTTTTTTAAAAAGAAAGAACCTATCAAACTCATGGTGGTAGATATAAGTTTTCCAAAGTTCTAATATTTACTTGATAGCTCAAATTTAAAAAAAAAAAAAAAAACAGAACAGAAAACAAAACTGAAAAAAGTAAAGGTCTTCTTTCACTTAAAACTTCAAAATGCAGTTTTCTCCCTAACCCATAATACAGATTCTTCCACTTATAATAGCCACAATTTTCCATAATTCACTCTCAACCCTCAAGTTTGAATAAGCTATATACATTTTTTTCCCCATACTGTAAGCCTGTCAATTTTAAAATAATTCAAGACTGAGTTGTTACATACCTTAGACTGCAGTCTTTTAGTGATTAAAAAGCTAATTTCTTTAAATAAACGTAATAGTACTGCTTTCAACTAATAATATAATATAATAATACATTATTTGGCTAGAGCAGGGGTGGGCAAACTTTTTGACTTGTGGGCCACAATGGGTTCTTAAACTGGACTGGAGGGCCGGAACAAAAGCATGGATGGAGTGTTTGTGTGAACTAATATAAATTCAAAGTAAACATCATTACATAAAAGGGTACGGTCTTTTTTTTTTTTAGTTTGCCCACGGCTGGGCTAGAGCATTAAGAAAAATATCACAATCTCATCCACCCCAAATCCAGTAACTTCTATAAACAAAAGTGTGTTTGAAAGTTAAAGGCTGTAGTTTTCACAACTGTTTGCATCTTAAAAGCCCTGATTGAGAATACAAACAGTATATAGTTGAAAAAGTAGTGGGGATGATGGAGTAAGAGGACTCAATCCCTTGCTCTATAATTTACAATATAATTTCTAGTCGAGGTTTATGAATCTTTAAAATGTTAATAATATGCACATCCCCTAAATGGCAAAACTGTATATGTAAAAGCATTTTGAGTTTTTTAAAAAGCATACAAATGTTAGATATTGTTCTTAGGATCCAGTCATTAATAGTGAAATAACTACTAAATGTCCTAATAATGACAGCTTTAAAGTATCGCTGCTGTGACTAAAGTACAGAAAGCATCTGATCATTAATTATACAGTACTAGAGGCCCAAAGCACGAAATTCGTGCAAGGGGCTCAGCCCTCACAGCCGTGGCGGCTTGCCTCAGCCCTCGCAGCCCCGGCTTTGTCCAGAAGGTCATCCGGAAGGTTGTCCAGAAGGATGTCTGGAAGATCGTTCGGCTGTCCAGTCTAATTAGCATATTATGCTTTTATTATTATAGATTATTATAGATATTAGAAAAATTGCTGTATATTCATCTGTTCCTGTATCTCAAGATATTTCCAATCAATTTACGAAAAAAATGTTTCTTATATACTCACTCCAGATACCATATTTTATGGTTTAACTCTACTTCCTAATACCTTTATTGGGAAATGGCAAAGACAAGCAGTCTTAACTGGTATCACAAGTAAAGGCTCCCCTAAAACGTCAATTTCATTTATGCAGATTTAATTTATAATTCCTATTATAAATGACAAGTAACTATTAAAATAAAATATACAATTTTACAAATTCACCTCCAAATGATCTGTAATCAACTATACAAAATCACTTTTATGACTTCCTTTACAAAACAAGGGTTAAAAAACAAAGAGGGCTTACATATGATTAGCAGAATAGACTAGATAAGGTAAATAGTCTACAGCTGATACACACTGTGGTCATCAACCAAGAAATAACAGTTTGCCTTTAAACAAAAAAAGCGGTTTAATGATTTTGAACTCTAACTCAAGAATTCTAAGATTATTAAGTATAGTTATTTAAAAGGTACTTAGAATGTACCTTACGTATTTTTATCCCTTAATATTAGTTCTATAATACTTTCAATATGATGGTTCAGTGGAAAACTGTAATAGAAGCATTAAATTTTAACATTTTTTTAAAAGGATTCATAATTTAGGCAAAACTAGACTATCTCTTGTCATTATTAATTATGAACCACAAGGAGGCTACAGTGATGACATAACCAGATGTCACAGATAGAAACACCTATGAGAAGGGAATAACCTCTTAGTGAATATTGAATGAAAGAATGAAAATATAGCACAGCTCAAAACCTTAATTTCTCAGGTATAAAATTTTGTCACAATTTATAATCATATTTTCTTTTCCTTTTTTTTGATATGCCAAAGTATCTTTTTGGCGTTGTTGAGGAAGTTGATAGATGATAATGGCCTGGAGAAAATCTGACTAGTTGTTATTGTTTGCATTTACCACCATATAATCTATTATTTTACTTTTCTGCAAGTATCTGTGTTAAAATTTATTTTGAAAAAAGTAAGTTTCACCAACTTCAAATATATGTATTTTTTAAAACTGAGATTTACTTTTCATTCCACTTATTTCTGCTGGCAAATTCTTCAGTTGATTACTGGAAAGATTGAGTCGCACCAGACTGGATAGAGAAGAAAAACTAGCAGGAACAGTTGTAAGACAATTATTTGAAAGATCCTTTAAAAAGAGAAAGACAGAATGAATGAATGAACAATAAAAATAAATAAATTATCCCTAAAGGGTATTCTAGAATTATGCAAGAATTGAAACATTATTTAAAAATTTTTTTGTTTCTGAGGGTATTTTTTAACCTTCCTTTCACAAATCATCATTCATTACCTCAATATTTTGTGGGCCCACTACATACCCAATAATGTAGCAGAGAGAAATCAGAATAAATTCTGACTTCAGAAACAGTTTATAAAAAGTAAGTCATGCTCTACTATGTATCCTATTTTCAATATGAAAAATCCATTTGTTTATCCAATGTTTATTGAATGCCTGTGATAAATAGGGCAAACTATGGGTAAACTGTAATAAGAAATGAAATATAACTTTGCAAGAAAGAAATATTCTTGGGGGTGGGGAAGGGAAACTAAAGCTGAAAATATAGCCATTTTAATTTTTGAGGAAAAAATATTCCCTCTTGATATTCTGCTGACCTCAGTAAGTCTGCTTTGACTAATTCTAGAAGTCCACTACAGTACTACAGCATTCATTCATTCAAGCTTGCCTAATTAATCTTTATACCACAATGTTTCTTTTAGTCATTGTTTGTTTTTTCTTTAAACAGTTACACAAGAACTTTCTTTTTGAAACTCCCTTTAAAAGACAATGTTATAAAACAAATAATTCTTCTTATGATATTTGAATTCGGTGTAAGTACTCCATTAGCTATCAGGAAACTGTTAATAGGTCCAATAGTAACAATGAATAGAAAAAAAATAACTTAAAGGAAATTCTCTCTGAAGACTTTCAATTAATCTAAAATTAAACAATTGTATTCTGTAATTCTAAATAAATCAAGAATATATAAAGAGGTAAAAAATGCATAAAAAGTACAATACTGTTATATTGTAAACAATAGGAAAATAACATATCATCGTAATCTATAACAAACAACATAATAATCTACAACTCCAATACTCTAAATTCTAAGAATTAATAGATTACTAATAAATAAATATTGTATAATATTAAAAGTTACTGACACTAAATGCAATGTAGTATTCTGGATTGGATCCTAGAACAGAAAGAAGAACATTAGTGGAAAACTGGGAAAATCTTAATAAAATCTGTAGTTTAGTTAGTAATATTGTACCAATATTAATTTCTTACTTTTTACAAATGTCCTATGGTTATGCAATATGCTAACATTAAGGAAATCTGGGTGAAGGGGATACAGAAACTCTGTACTTTCTTTATATTTCTACTAGTGGCCCGGTGCACAGAATCGTGCACATTGAAAGGAAATTAACTAGAAGAAAGATTCCTGCAGTAATTACATTACTGCAAAAATTACATGTCAAAGTAGGATATGTAATATAGTATCATAAAATTAAAACACGCGTGCAATTGGCGCCAGCGAGAGCTTTATATGTATCGAGCATGCCCGAGTCAACATTTATTTTTAAACTATCAGTGCGCGTCATATGGTCAGTTGGATGGACGGACGGTTGGTTGGTCGGTCGATTGATCACTTAACCTTGTGTGTGTGTGTGTGTGTGTGTGTGTGTGTGTGTATGTATATATACACATAAATCTAAAATTATTCCAAATAAAAAGCTTAAAATAAAAGTTCCTACTAGAGCAGGGGTGGGCAAACTTTTTGACTCGAGGGCCACAATGGGTTCTTAAACTGGACTGGAGGGCCGGAACAAAAGCATGGATGGAGTGTTTGTGTGAACTAATATAAATTCAAAGTAAACATCATTACATAAAAGGGTAAGGTCTTTTTTTTTTTAGTTTTATTCATTTCAAACGGGCCGGATCCGGCCCGCGGGCCGTAGTTTGCCCACGGCTGTACTAGAGAGAAGATATTAATTCTTCACAAATTCATTTTAAATAACCCAAATCAACAAATTACTAAAAAAGTTAAACATTTAATTATTGTAATTAATAATTAAATTAGATCTAAAATTTAATTATATATTTAAATAGATATTTATACTGCCAATTCTTCAGTAAATATGTATTTAGTACCATTATACAAAGTTAGTTTTTACCTAAGAAATATTACCAGTGTAAATTATTACAGATTCTTATACTTTTAATGTTTTAATATATTGTTGCTCACATTATGGTTTATTTGATACTGAATCCTTAACACAATTCTCACTGAAACATCCTTTCATTATGCTACCTATAATCCAGGAACCTATTCAAAGAAATAACTGGGAACTGCTGTAGTTTATCATGTTTTTTTCCTACTACAGACTCTTAAAAAAAATTCAATTGCTCCCTTTTTCCATTAAATTCCTAAGAAAATCCCTCCTTTCCCTCCTTTGCCATTCACTTTATCTACCTAACTTTCCAAACCTTATTTCCAATCTAACTAGATTGACAGAGATACTAAAGGAATGATTGAAGAGAGTGTGTATTTTGATTTCAAACACTAGAGGAGATAATGGGATATATCAAGAAGGGTGTTTTTACCGGGAAAAAAATAAAATAGAAGTAAAAGAAGTAATTTTCCCTAAAGAAATAAACTTTGAGGCTAAAATGACATAAATTAAGAGGGAAAAGAACAAAAATATAATACTAAATTACTATGTGGGGTAGAGATTATTAGAACATCTGATCTAATATAGCTAATGTCTTTCTGATGGGATACCTTACAGTGGAATGTTATTCCTTGTGGTAAAGTGGGGGGAAAAATACACTTTGGAGTCAAACTGGCTTATGTTAAAGTCCTGAATTCCTTACTTATTAATTGAATGACTTCCAATAAGTTGCTTCTTTTTTATAAGCCTAGTTTCTTATCTGTATTAGGAGATAAAACTATCTACCTTGCCATATGTAAAGCACAAAACAAAGTGCCCATTGTTTTTATAATACTTAATAATATGATTAAAATAATATTTCTATTGCTTTACAGTTAACTCTTCTTAAGATGTGACACAGATGTAATAAAAATTTTGCCAGATTACGTTGCCATTTTAAAAAGTAGAGCAAAAAGGCAGGCCTTAAAGGGATTACCTGGGTAATCAGAGGACTGGAAGGCTATAAGGCCTATAAAGGAGTAAGTGGAATGGGTATAGAAAAGGGAATTGGTATATGTTCAAAACACCTTTCCTCTAATTTGCTAAGCCATAAAAGCCTCTGAATAACAAAGTGATTCTCATCACCCCTTTCCCAAACTCTATTCCTAAATTAAAACCTAAGGTGATTTCATAAGAAAACAAGAAAAACAAATTTACAATTACTAATTTAATGATCTAATCGAAATGCATAGTTTCTGGTAACCTAATCATATGATCAGTTGCCCATTTCCTCATGATTTTAATCATACATAAAGATTCTCAGCCTAATGAAAAATGTGATCAGTCCCAAATTATACAAAAATTGGAAAATCACAACTTACCAAATCTTCTAAATTGAACAGTTGTTCAAATCCCTCTGGTATAGAAGTTAGTTCATTATGCTGGAGATACAGGCCCTTCAGGTTTCTTAGATTTGTAATTTCTTCAGGGAGTATCTTCAGTTTGTTATGGCTATTAATAAAATAAAGGCTGAATCATCGGTTGACAACTTATTAAATATTTATAAAGGTTTTCTTATGCTTTCCAACTACATGGACTCATTAAAAACATGAAATATGTTTACTAATATTAAAGTTATCAAGCTCATATCCTAAAGTAATCAAATTGAGGGTTTCAATGGAAAACAACAAAGAAATAAAAGATTTTTAACCAAATAATTTGTGAACTTTTGATTGCTGCCTTATAATCAACTCTTAATTCTACATATAGTGTGAAAGGATACACTGGATTCTTACTACTTTATACTGCACCTGAGTTTCAGAATTTTTACAAAGATGTGCACACACACACACTACAATGCAGCACATCTTATATGGGGGTTATGTTTTAAAGTTATCCCCCAAGACAAAAATAGTTGTTTCTGTCTGAGGACCTGGCATGTCCATTTGAATGTAATATAAAACTCCACTCTTCTTTGTACCTAGTTTTAACATTTCACCTCAGTCTTTCTATAGAGATACTTAGCTTACTGGTTTAAGAGAAGTCCCAAGTCACCAACGATGACACGCTCCTGGATAATTAAGAGATGACTTAGGTTGTTCCCAGATTTACCTCAACTATTCACTTGGGAATTCCACTCTCTTTTCATGCCACATACAATTATTCAACAGATAATGGAGAAATGTATAATGGGGTAACTAACAATAACCTTAAGTTATATTAAAATAGAACTAGTTGAAATAAAAATGCCAAAAGGTTTTCTAAAATAAGAACCACTGAAAATTGTCAGAAACTGGTTACTACTGTTGGTTATATAATCAAAATCTTTGTATATTTGATGGGGAGCTAGTTGAGCAGAGTAATTCTAGCTATATACTTCCTCTGTTTCTTTTCATCATTTATTTCCTCCTTCCTAATGTTCATACTCGGAAGCTAAAACTAAAGCCACATGCACTCTATTCTCCCTCACCTTTTCCTCTCAACCCAACCTAGTCTTGCTTTTTGCAGGCCACACCCATGCCTTGACTTGTAAGGGGAAGTTCTAATATAGTTCTAAACAATTAGCACCTTTTTTGTGTATAAATAATTTTGTTAACTTATGGTGATTTTAAAGTTTTCACCAGATGAGGACTGTTGTTTGAAGTACTGATTTTCCTCAAACCAGTTAACTAACATACCTTCAGAAAACTGACACTTGGCTATACTATGTTAGACGGATCTGTAACAATATCTATTTTATAAATCATAGTTTGCAAACTATGTTTTGAATACTTACACCTTTTTTTTCTCCTAAATGAAATCTTCCCTAATCCATTTTCTCCTAATATGAGTGTGTGTGTGTGTGTGTGTGTGTGTGTGTGTGTGTGTATCTGTGTGTGTATATAATAAGGTAGTTGGTTATTCTTTCTTGAAAGTCTGGATGTGCAATGAAGAGCCTTGGCTGCCTGGCCTCTCAGACATCTGTCAATGAGTACCAGAAGCATATCCACAGAATCCTAGGAGTCCCCAGAAAACATTAAAAACCACTAATATTAAAACCATCAAATTTTTCATCATTAATGAAAGAACTGTTTTCAGTTTATTCCTATTGCTTAACACTTAGATATTTTTAGAACAAAATAACTTAAAACTTCAGATATCAACAAAGAGGTTTTCTAAAATAACCACATAAAATTGTTTCATAAAACAACTTTTTAAATTTTCACCGGAAGATGCTTTATTGATTTTTAGAGAAAGAAGAAGGGGGAGGGAGGGAGGGAGGGAGGGAAATAAAGAGAGAGAGAGAGAGAGAGAGAGAGAGAGAGAGAGAGAAACATCTATCAGTTGCCTCCCACAAGCCCCAGAAGGGATTGAACCCAAAACCTAGTTATGTGCCCTGACCAGGAATTAAACCCCCAACCTTTTTTGGTGTACAGGATGACACGCCAACAAACCGAGCCACCAAGCCAGGGCAAAACAAAAGTATTTTTAAAAAATCAACTGGCCTTGAATCTATAAAACCAGAAAGTATGTATACAATTTTAAAACAAAAAATAAAAATAACCTGAGAATTAAAACTTATCATTCTTATTCTGCTTTAACCACTTTCTAAGCTAATACAAAAATACTTTAAAGTGTTAGAAAAAATATTTTTTAAATATATCTTTATTGATCTCAGAGAGGAAGGGAGAGGGAGAAACATCAATAATGAGAGAGAATCACCAATTGGCTGCCTCCTGCACGCCCCCTACTGGGGATTGAGCCCAAAACCCAGGCATGTATCCTTGACCTGAATCGAACCTGGGACCATTCAGTCCGCAGGCCAACGTTCTATCCACTGAACCAAACTGGCTAGGGCTAGCAAAAACATTTTTAAAAATATCAG